CTAGGTTAGAAAAAGTACAATCACATACTACTTCACTTTTTATTACACTTCCTTCATTGTATATGTTGCAGTTGACAAGCTTCTGAGTTGACTTATGCTTTGATGATGATGAGTTTAAATAAAGTAATATTTTATATGTTCACGGAAATCATGTTATTTTAGTTGTATTGTGCAGCAAAAATATAGGAAAGACATACAATTTTAAGAATCATACAGCGTTGCGACATAAGACATTATACCACCGTGATGCCATCTTTGACACTGTCGGAGTGCCCAATATAGATATGCCAGCACCTAGTCTCTATTTGGTAGTGCCGCGATGTTGTAGGAGTTAGCGTTGTAAAGCCTAGTCTCTATCTGCATAGTCGATGCTGCAATGCTAAACTGTCAGTAGCACTGTATAGGAAAATAAATGTCATGTAGATTTGCATTTCTCCTATTTTGTAATTGAATATTGCATTGAGAATGAAGTATTGTCATGAGAGAGTGACACCATATTCTACAATGGATTCAATATCAAAATAGGGTTTTATAAAATCATATCTATGTAATTAAATATAATTCAAAGACTAACATATCATCTAGAAAGATGAATATAAAATTCTATAGAATGTGTTTAAAAATAGAAATTGAGTTTTGAAAATCTAGTCATTCTTTTGATTAGATGTAACAAGAAGAATACTAAATCATCTTAAAAGATGAATGTGATATTATTCAACACATCTAAAAAAAAGAATAAGTTTTATATAATTCATCATTTCTAAGATCAAATATAATAAGGAGGATGCTATATCATGAGAAGATTATAATAATATTCTGCAAGTATACTCAAAGTTAGAAATGAGTTCTTAGAGATTTTTTTTTTCTTATTTTATAAAAAATAAAATAAGGTTTATTTTAATATGGAGTTATTAAATCCCTAGAAGGACAAGCCTTTATAATTAATTACATCTTAGGAGGATGCTACTAAGAAAACTCTCAATTAGAGCAGCAATTCCATACCCTTGAATTACAAAGTAAAAGATAAGGAAAGAAGCATAAAATTTTTTAAGGAGAAAACTCAAAGTTAAACAGTTTTTAGCGAGTTAAAGGAGAAAAATTACGAGGTGCCAAATTCTGAGAAGCTTAGAGGATACCCCCGTCTATCTTATGTTGGGCTTTATATTTTAGGAGAGAATTTTTATGTTTGAGTTCACATTTTATTAAAACTTTAGGATTATATTTCTGAAGGGTGGTGACTTAAGGTTTGAAATCTGCCTCATGAGGACCTAGATCTAAATTATATACTACAAAGTAGTGACTCAAACTTTTCTAATGAAGTACAAATCTAGATTTATCCCGACCTAGATTAGGGAGTCAACTAATCACCCGGGCATTTTAAAATCATGTGTTTGGTCTCTTTATGAAAGATGGGTAATGATGTTGTTTGAGTTTTGAATTGGGGCCGACATCTAGAATAAATACAAATTTGTCGTGATTTGATGCTTGAAAGTAAAATATAATTAAAATTTTAGACCATTTTTATTTGTATCCAATGTAATGCATGTTAATTGACTCGAATGCATAAAATCATTATGAAATATTTTTAAAATCAGGCTTAAAATTTTTTTTCCTAGAGATTGCTCAACATCTCGTTGACAGAACGTTGACAGAACTGCACCCTGATAGACCAGGTGGTCTATCAGAGATGCCTAACAAGGAAGATAAAGTAATAATATGCATAAATACTAACTCTCGACGGACTCGAGCTTAATTCTTAGATAGTTAGAGTTACTATGTGAGCATGTTATTTTTTTTTATTTTAAGTATAAAAGATTTTATTCATAGGCTAAAACAAAACACGACATGCAAAAAAGAAATCTATAAAAAACAGGCAATTTCTACTATGCAAGCATTATAAATAATCAATATTAAATTAATTAATTAAGTAAATTACCATATGGAAGTTATCACTTTATTTACAATTCAGGTCTATAGTAATTAAAAGTAGTCGGGCATCACTGACAATAACCTAGATTATAATCCTAAAACTAAAGTAAGTGACTTTGAGTGGGATATTTTTTATCTTCACTTATTCGTCTTCTCTCCTTTCGTAAGCTCCTTGGATCTATCGGGTCTGGATATCCAAATGAAAAGAAACTCATGCCCAAAAAGGTATTTTCTTTTCTCTTTAGATATTAAAGTCATCCTAACTTTGATCTCCAAATAGAAGGGAACTCTCCCCAAAGAGATGTTCTATCCTCTTTAGATTCTAAGTTGGATGTGATATCTCACATCAAATTTATACTTTCACAACACTTAATCAAATTACAATATATCTGAGAAATAAAACCAGACCACCTGTACGATTATCTTAAGCAATTAAAATTAAAATCGTCCTAAGAAGTTATACATAAAAACTTAAATTTAAATCACAGCCACACTTGAACATGCTCTTTTAATTTTAAGAGAGGCTTAACATTTTGCATCTACAAAAAATATGTCAGTTTAAATATTTAATTTCCCCCCTTTGATTTAGTCTTGCATGATTATGGCCACCTGCAGAAAATCTTGTGGGCATCCAGGTCGTTTCTAACCTAGGAGTAATCTATCGCTAATCACATCAATTCATTGATTATAGAAATAAATAAATAATCACATCACTCAATCAATTTCGCAAATAGCATACATAGAAATCATGGAAAAGCCCAACATAGTAATAGGAAAGTAAACACCGGCCTAACCTAAAGTTAGAATTGGTTGTCCTAACAAACAACTCTAAGTGTGGTGTAGAAGATTGTGTGGTTTGGAGATATCAAATTAAATAGGTCAACCCAAGCTGAACAAACTTATTAAATTGGTTAACACAAACATGAATTTTATGGTCGAATCAGAGCTAGATTGTCGAGGTGGATCATTTATAAACACCCTTAGTTCCTTATGTGTTTTTAATTTTGTTTATTATTATTATTATTATTATTATTAAGGGAGGTCTAATGAGCAACTACTTTTACACATTTGATTATTGAAAAAAATATAATATAAATATATGGAAAAACAAAAAGACGCAAATCAAAGCTCACGCTCTACTCCAAAAGTTTAAGTTGACCAATCTTAAAGGTATTGTCACGATCCAACCCGACCGGGACGGATTCCGCTCGCATCGGGCCGCGACATAACCTTTAAAAATCCAGGATCTAGCTTTGGAATTTGCTTCAGACTCTCTTCTAAATATTAAATAGACAGAAAAACACAGAGCTACTATAAACATCCAAATACAGAATAATTCATCTATCTTTTTTTTCATCAAAACAATCATATACAGATACAGTACATGGCTTACAGATAGAAAGAACAGAACAAAAAAACCATGACTGTACAAAAATTAAAAGTACAAAATATCTAATCACTGATCAGACTCTGAACTGCTAATTCAAAACTTCCTTCCCTTTCCCAGAACCTGAAAACCACGCAGAAAACAAGGATAAGCTAACATCTCAACAAGACATCACTCACCAATCTAAATCATCAGAAATTCACATCAGAAAATACATCAGAAAATAGTCATACGAAAATCGTAGAACATATACTTGATCAACAGAAATCAAACAACTAATATAGAAAACTGAAGTCATTTCGAATCGGAGTTCATAATAGATATCATAAAGCTTCCAAGTCATAGAGCAGACAGAATCGTACGGAATAACCAGAATCGTACAGAAATCAGAAATCAGATAAAGATAATTCATAAAATAGATCAGATAAATCACAAAACAGATTATCAGATATCAAACATCAGATTCCCTGACCCTGACAAAATCTCAACGGATTCTGGCCCCTTATGCCTCCCTTCCCAGACACTAACAGAATCTCAACGGATTCTGGCCCCTTATGCCTCCCTTTGTGCTTATAGCACCAGAACAGAACAGATATTCGGAATTCCGGAACAGAACTTATTTTAAGATTTTAGAGCTCATTTCAGATTTCCCTGACACAGACAGAATCTCAAAGGATCCTGGCCCCTTATAACTCCCTTCTGATAGCATACAAACTCTTCAATTCATTTAATGTATCAATTCAGAAAAATCAGAATTCATACGAAAAATCAGCGGCATAACGGTCGTATACGGAATTTACACAAAAATCACAGATTCAGAAATTTACCATATTACCACAGAATATCCACAACAACATTATAAGACTTTCATTGTACTGAAGTATCATTTTTAAACATCCTGATAACTTGCAATTCAATTAAAACGTCATAGAATTCAAAATATCCGGTAAAAATCATTTAGAAAATACTCAAAACGTGCACAATTATTATTTCAGAAACATACCAAAAGTTATGCGGTAAAACCTTTGTCAGAAGAAAATAATACCAGAAATTCGCTAACGGAAACAAAATCCGGAACAGAAAAGTCATCAAAATTCTCGTTTCTGAAAATTGAGAAAGGCAGAATGTGCCTTACCTCGAGTCGATCAACTTTTCCAACTACGGCGACGGACGAAAAAGTACGGAAGTCGCCCAAAAATTCACTTTTCTTCTTCTTTCCACTATTTTCTCTCTCCTGGACTTTCTCTCTCTTCAAAACGACTTAAATCGGATATTTATTAAGCAGGATCATCCCGGACGATGTTCCCGATCGTCCCGGGACGATCTCCTCTGGACCAGATCGTCCACACGAAATTAAATGCAAATTTCGTTGTCCCGGGACGAAACTCTCGGGTTCAGTTCATCCCGACGGTTCGTCCCGATTGTTCCAGGTTCGTACAGACGAACATGCAGATTTCTTCACAATCTGTACAGATCGTCCCGGGACGATCCACTTCGTCCCGGACGATCCTAGGAGGAAAACAGCCTTTACAATCTCCCCAACTTCAGAAAAATGTCGTCTTCGACATTTCCAAACCAAACTGAGTCAAAACAGATACGGATATGAGTGCCTCATGTCCGACTCCTTCTCCCAAGTCGCTTCCCGAGCTGTTCTGTGCTTCCACTACACTTTAACCATAGGAATCTATTTACTTCTCAGTTTCCGCACATCATAAGCCAAAATTTTCTCAGGTTCTTCTTTGTACTGCAGATTCTCCTGAATCTCAACCTCATCAGGAGACACTTTCTTGTCAGAATCAGATATCCACTTTCTCAAAGAGGATACGTGGAAAACATTATGCACATCAGACAGCTGATCGGATAACGACAATCTATAAACAGACTTTCCAATTCTTTCAATAATCTCAAAATGTCCGACATACCTTGGACTGAGCTTGCTCACTCTTTCAAATCTGCTGACACTTTTCATCGGACTGACTTTGACATACACAAAGTCACCAATCTGAAATTCAACGAACATGTGCTTCTGATTGTAATACTTCTGTTTCCTATCTTGTGCAGCTTTCAATCTTTCTTTAATCAAATTGATTTTCATAACAGTTTCATCCACAAATGTCGCACCCATTTCCTATCTATCGCCCACTTCAGTCAGAGTCAAAGGAGTTCTACACTTTCGGTCATACAAAGCTTCATAAGGTGCCATACCAATACTGGACTGGAAACTATTATTATAAGCAAATTTTAATCAAAGGGATATGATCTTTCCAGCTTCCTCCAAAATCTAAAACACATAACCTCAGAAGATCTTCCAGTACCTGAATAGTCCTCTCATACTGTCCGTCAGTCTGCAGATGAAAAGTCGTACTGAAATGTAACTTAGTACCCAATCCTTGCTGAATACCCTTCCAAAGTCTGGAAGTAAATCGTCCATCTCGATCAGATACAATCACTTTAGGCACACCATGTAATTTAACAATTTCCTTCACATAAACCTGTGCCAACTTATCCACCGGATCCGTCTGCTTGATCGGAAGAAAGTGTGCAGACTTCGTCAATCGATTCACAATCACCCAGATGGTATCACGCCCTTGCCTTGATCGAGGGAAACCCATAGCAAAGTCCATCGTTACCTCCTCCCACTTCCACTCAGGGATAGGCAACGACTGCAAAAGACCTCCTGGTTGTTGATGCTCTGCCTTCACTAACTGACAAGGTTCGCATTTCACAACAAAATCTGCTACATCCTTTTTCATTCAAGGTCACAAGAATAAACTCTTCATATCTCCGTACATCTTACCACTTCCCGGATGTATCGTATAGCCTAAATGGTGAGATTCGTACAGAATCTCTTTCATCAAATCTCCAAATACAGGAATCCATAGTCTATTCTTGTAGAAAATAATACCAGAATCAGAAACTCACAGTTCAGATTTCTTACCAGATTCAATATGAGTAATCAACTTCAAGTAATCAGAATCTGACTTCTAAGCTTCCTAAATCCTTTCTTCTAGAGAAGACTGAATGTTCATCTGAGTCAAAACACCGGAATCCGTACCAGTAGAGGAAATCACCTCCAACTGTAATCTTTCCATATCTCGTATCAGATAGTCATCAGAAGTGAGTTGAATACCTGATAATCCAGAAGACTTCCTGCTCAAAGAGTCTGCTACCATATTAGCCTTACCAGGCTGATACTGAATCGTCAGGTCGTAGTCCTTGATCAACTCAAGCCATCTTCTTTGCCTCAAATTCAGATCCCTCTGAGTGAATATGTACTTCAAGCTCTTATGATCCGTAAAGATCTCACATCTGACGCCATACAAATAATGACGCCAAATCTTCAAAGAAAAATAACTGCAGCCAATTCCAAATCATGCGTCGGGTAATTCTTTTCATGTGGTTTCAACTGTCTCGAAGCATAAGCTATTACCCGACCATTCTTCATTAGAACACAGCCCAATCCTTTCAGTGAAGCATCACTGAACACCTGAAATCATTCCGTACCTGACGGAAGTGCTAACACAGGAGCTGAAGTCAAACAATCCTTCAACTTCTGAAAACTAGCCTCACATTCCGAAGTCCAAACAAAAGCTACTGACTTTTGAGTCAGTCTCGTCAGAGGCGTAGAAATCTGAGAAAATTTCTTCACAAATTTTTTATAATATCCGGCCATGCCTAAGAAACTACGTACCTCAAATACCGTAGTAGGCCTTGGCCAATCAGCAACAGCTTGAATCTTCTGGAGATCAACAGAAATACCTTCACCGCTCACCACATGCCCCAGAAAAGAAATGCTCTTCAGCCAGAATTCAAACTTGGAAAACTTAGCATACAACTAATGATGTCTCAAAGTCTCCAACACAATGCTCAAATGTCTGGCATGATCTTTCTCAGAAGCAGAATACACCAGAATATCGTCGATGAAGACGATCACAAACTGATCCAGATACTCCTTGAACACTTTGTTCATCAGATCCATGAAAATAGCTAGTGCATTGGTTACCCCAAAAGACATAACCAAAAACTCGTAGTGCCCGTACCGAGTACTGAAAGCTGTCTTCAACACACCAGCTTCCTTCACCTTCACTTGATAGTATCCATATCTCAAATCAATATTTGAAAATATAGAAGAACCAGAAAGTTGATCAAACAATTCATCAATCCGTGGTAATGGATACTTATTCTTGATCGTGACTTTATTCAAATCTCTGTAATCAACACACATACGGAGTGTTCCGTCCTTCTTCTTCACAAACAGTACAAGTGCTCCCCAAGGAGAAATACTAGGATGAACAAATCCTCTATCCACCAACTCCTTGAGCTGAACTTTCAACTCAGAATGCTCCTTCGGTGCTATCCTATACGGAGCTTTTGATATTGGAGTTGTACCCGGAAAAATATCAATACAGAATTCAACATCTCTGTCCGGAGGTAAACCAATTAACTCCTCAGAAAAAACGTCAGAAAACTCTCGTACAACCGGTATATCAGAAATAGAACACACATCTATGTTCATATCCCGTACAGAAGCCAAAAATACCGGACAACCCTTCTTCCACATTCTTCTGACTTCCAACACAGAAATCAGACAGGATAGAACACCTCGTAATCCTTGAAATACATATCTCTCACCATCCATAAGCAAGCTCACTTGCTTCTTCAAACAGTCAATCTGAGCCTCATACAGACTCAGCCAATCCATACCCAAAATCACGTCGTAAGAAGAAATCGGCAACAAAATCAAACTTGACTTCCATTTCTTGCCTAAAATATCAAGATCACAGAAACAAAACTTTCGGGCGATCAAATTACTTCCAGCTGGCAAAATAACGGAAAGAGAAACCGGTAGCAAAATAGAATCCAGATGCAAAGTATCAAAACAACGCTAGGAAAGAAACGAGTGACTGGCTCCAGAATCAAATAGAACACGATAGGGATGTTCAGAAATATAAATTATACCTGTCACCACATCCGGAGCATCTCGAGCCTCCTGCTAACTCAAATTGTACACACGTGGCTGAACTAGAGCTGGAGCTACTGAACCACTAGACTCCCGCTAACTACCAGTAGGTGGTCTCCATGCCACAGAACTCGACCCACCACCTCTACTAGAGGATCATTCAGTCACAATACGTGGAGGAACAGTCCTCGGCCTTCTTGCTGAACCAACAGGTCTACTATCAGATCGGAACTCCGATCGTCTATCAAATCCAGCCTGTGGACACTCTGCAATCCGATGTCCTGGCTGACCACATCTAAAGCACTGACCAGTCATCCTGTATCACTGACCAAAATGTCATCGTCCACAACTTTGGCACACAGGTGCCCCACTGACAGATCTAGAACTGGTCATACTGGTAGTGGTAGTACCAGAAACTGTAGTGGATCCCGACTATCCACTCCTCATGGGATCTCCAGAAACAAATCTCATATTGCCAGAGGAACCACTATTAGAAGAATCACCCCCGAACCTCTTCCTACTTGCAGTCCACCGCTACTGGGTAGCCATCAAATCATTCTCTACCAGACGAGCTCTCTCCACAAGCTCAGAGAAATCAGAAATATGAAACGGTACCAGAGGTTGCCTCAGACTATCTCATAGTCCCCTCAGAAATCTATAGCACTTCTCAGCAGAAGTACTCACCAACTACGAAGCATATCAGGCTAAAGCAGTAAACTTTGTCTCGTACTGCATCACAGTCCTGCTCCCCTGAACTAGCCTCAGAAAAGTCTCCTGCATCTGCTGTCTTGCAGAAGGAGGTACAAACCACGATCGAAATACCTCAGAAAACTCTTCCCAATAGATCAGAGAGTTTAGCTTTTCTTGGAACTTTTCCTCCTGCTGGCCCATCCACCAACGCTCAACCTCCCCATCCAACAGAAAAATTACCAACGGTGCCTTCCTGTCCAACGGATACTGCATACCGTCAAAAGTCTTCTCCAACCTCCTCAACCACTCCTCAGCTGCTCTGGGCTCAACAGTGCCCTCAAACCTCGGAGGTTTCAATCTCAAAAAAATCTGCAGATGTCTATCCACATCCTCAGATCGAACAGTAAAGGCTCTACTCTGAGTCTCGCTCATCATCTGAGCAACCAATATAGCAAACTGAGAAAGTGTATCAGAACCAACCACTGGGCAGTACTACACATCGGAGCTGCTTGACTAGCACTCTGCCCATCTGTCATATATGGGTCTGGCAGATCCATAATCACACAGAAAACTAGGCACAAAACAACAGAATAAAAATTCAGACAAACTATAACTACCCCGACGGACACACACAGATCACTTCCTAAAGCTCTGTCTTACAATTCAATTTCCAAAACCATTGCTCTGATACCAAATCCATAATAACACAGAAAACTAGGCACAAAACAACAGAATAAAAATCCAGACAAACTAGAACTACCCTGACGGACTCACACAGATCACTTCCTAAAGCTCTGTCTTACAATTCAATTTCCAAAACCATTGCTCTGATACCACTGAAAAGGCTTGTCACGACTCAACCCGACCGGGACGGATCCCACTCGCATCGGGCCGCGACATAACCTTTGAAAATCTAGGATCTAGCTTTAGAATTTACTTCAGACTTTCTTTCAAATATTAAATAGACACAAAAACACAGAGCTACTATAAACATCCAAATACAGAACAGTTCATCTATCTTTTCTTTCATCAAAACAATCATATACAGATACAGTACATGGCTTACAGACAGAAAGAACAAAATAGAAAAGCCAGGACTGTACAAAAATCAAAAGTATAAAATACCTAATCACTGATCAGACTCTGAACTGCTAATCCAAAACTTCATTCCCTTTCACAGAACCTGAAAACCACGCAGAAAACAAGGATGAGCTAACAGCTCAGCAAGACATCACTCACCAATCTAAATCATCAGAAATTCACATCAAAAAATACATTAGAAAATAGCCGTACAGAAATCGTAGAATAGATACTTGATTAACAGAAATCAAACAACAGATACAGAAAACTGAAGTCATTTCGAATCGGAGTTCAGAACATATATCATAAAGCTTCCAAGTCATAGAGCAGACTGAATCGTACAGAATAACCAGAATCGTACAGAAATCAGATAAAGATAATTCATAAAATAGATC